GGTCTCTGCTCACACTCACCTGCGTGCTCTAGGTCTCTGCTCACTCCCACATGAGTGTTTGGGGGTCTCTGCTCACTCCTGCTCAAACATTTCAAAACAGGCAGGTGCACTGAGCCTGCTTTTCTGCATCTTCAGGAACATTTTTTTTTCTTTAGAGTTTTTTTGCCCTATAGCATCTCCAGGGGGGATGGCCACGCCACAATCCCTTCTCCTCCATTCTCCTCTCAGAATCTTGGGCACACACGTACAGCATGAGTTTAAGCCGCCGGGTCCAATACTCAAACCATGGTTTACCACATGGTAGTGCAGCAACATAGCCATTATGCCATCTGCTGGTCCCTCAGGGACATTTTCATCACCAGGATTTCTACATCCGAGAGATGCCCTCTTGGGTTAGAAACAAAGAAATTGGCCACGAGGCAGGTGCGTTGTGGAAGCCAAACTGGGTCACCTGCCCTAAGCCCTTTACTGAACCCTAAGGCTGGGCAGGAGCTTCCAGAAACCGTAACAGCCCTCGGCCAATGCAAACTCATGCACTGCCTCGAACTGGAGAGGCTGGCGGGGCAGGGGAGGAGAGCCAAGCAGTCGGCCCATGAACATGCCAGGTCAGCAGAGATGGCGGCAGCTAGGTTCTACGTGCAAACAGCACACGCCATGCAGGCACTTGGAATACCAAGCCTCCTGAGTCCCAAGGAGGCCAAGTTTCTCACCCCCCTCTGAAGTCTGAATGAGAGTGTAAGACATGTGTAATGTAGTTCGGGAAAAAATTCTACTCTGAGAGTGACGTAACGACCTCTCAGGAACTTGACTCAGTCACACTGAGACCTGAACCGTGCTGGAGGTGAAGATCAGACACTTACTTCCACGATCATGTGGAACCGGGGCTGCGGGGCCGTACCGGCCCTTGCTGCCCTGCCCCCTCCCGGATCCTGATCCTGGTCTCCACCCATGTGCCAAGAACGTGACCCTTTCAGCAGCTCTGGCAGCCCGGGCTGTCTTATTGTCAGAGCAAAACAGAAAGCCACCACACCCCAGAGTTGGAACAGGGGACGCATTCATACCTGCGTACCAGGAAGTGGGCCAGCCGGGAGTTTCCCACCCAGCGACTGATACGACACGTGGTGACCTTCCCTCGTTCTCCAGCTAGGAGCCGGGGCAGAGAGGAGACCTCGATGCCACCCAGTGAGGACAGCAAAGCCAGCAGGGTCAGACAGGGGACGGGGTCTGGTGAGCATGTGTGCATGTGCACGGGGCTGTGTGAGCATGTGTGAGTGACTGAGTGCGAGCCCACGTGTATGCGTGTACAGAGGTATGTGCCTGAGTGCTAGCCCATGCATATGTGTGTGTGTGTTTGTGTGTGTGTGTGTACGGGGTGTGTGCCTGAATGAGAGCCCATGTGTAGGATGGGGCTGTGTGCCTGAGTGCGAGTCCGTGTGTGTGCACGTATGGGGGTGTAAGTGCTAACTCCTGTGTGTGCCTGAGAGTGAGCCCATGCATGTGTGTGCATGTGTGTACGGGGTGTGTGCCTGAGTGCAAGCCCGTGCGTGCGTGTATGAGGGTGTGTACCTGAGCGCGAGCTCATGCGTTACGGGGGCATGTGCCTGAGCATGAGCCCATGTGTGTGTGTGTGTACATGAGCCCATGTGTGTGCCTGAACATGAGCCTGTGAGCATGCATTTGTGTGTACAGGCATGTGAGCCTGTGCTGGTCGGCCCCACAGGCACAGCTGGGAGAGGGTCGGCGGCCAGGTCAGCTGCGCTGGCAGAGGCGGTGGCGCTGACCGTGGGGAGGGGGCCCGACAAGTGCTCACAGTGACACAGTGAAGGGGGCGAGAGTGGACAGAGCCAAGTCTGCTTTTCCAAATGATTTTCCTAACCCAGCGTCTTCCCTCACCTCCCATGGGAAGCCAAGGACTTACTGTCTCCAGGAAAATGTGTGTGTACTTTTGCACACCCCAGCCAGGCTGCCTCCAGCAGAGGGCAGGGCTCTAGCGCCAGGCCGATGTCAACAGCCAACTTCTATCTGATGCCACCAGCTTTGCCACTATGCAGGGCCATTTCCTAAGCCCCAGGGCCCAGGCCCACCGTACAGCCGAGAAAAGCCAGGCTGAGTGACAGTACAGTCTGGTGTGCTGGCACTGTGCCCACCTCCCTAGCCCCTGCCCTTAGGTCAGCTTTGTGCACCTGTGTGTCGTGGCCTTGGGTCTCAGGGGCTGCTTGTACTGAGGTCACAGAAACTGCCAAGCAGCGGCCACTCCATTTCTAAGCTAACAACTGATTCCGGTTCCACCAAAACCTGAACTGCACCCCGGTCCTGGGCCAGATCTGCTCCTGTCCTCACAACAGGGGGCCCTCACCTGGGGCATACCACTGGCGCCACTGCGGCTCAGGCCACAACGCACACAGCCCCGGTTCTGTCCTCAGTGACACTTAGATTTTGTAGTCTCGCTCCTTCCCTGACAAGCTGACCCGGTAGAGCAGACACACGGCTGTGGGTGCGCCGCCTGTCACAGCCGGGT